GCGTCAAAAAACATTTCCCCGGAGATCTAAGTCTAGATATCCAGCGCCAGGACTATCATAAAGAAGAGACCCAGTTCTCTTTCCGAATATCCCAGCTGGGTTGTCGTCGTAAGCGTTCATGCGGTTGAGTTCGTCATCCAATGCCGTTCTCGGATCGTGAGGATCAAGGATGGAACTCGGAAGAAAATTCGAAGGGAAGTAAGCCTCGTTTTCGACCTGATTTTCCATCCCAAAAACACGCAAATTTGGCTCTGCAGACGGTGGGCTGTACGCTGTGACTGCAATAAGGATCAGGTACATACGAATACTAGCTTCGCAAAAAAATTACTTGTCTCCAAGCGAGAATAGTCTGCAACAAAATTGAGATAGAAATTATGAGCTACAAATCATTTCGCAAAATAATCAAAACTCACAGTACGAATCAGAGGATGAGCGAGGCTCACCAAACGTGAAGGCAGGATCGGCTGCAACAAGAAAGGGACGGGAATGATCAGGTACATACGAATGCCAGCTTCGCAATTAATCAAACTCACGTTGCCAAGCGCTGCCCGACATCTGGATGTTGAGTATTTGGTTCTCTGGCGTCGCAATGCCCCAGTCCGCGTCAGATTCCAAGCGAGGGCGGAACAATCCGGAGCTTTCAAAATCATGGAAGGCAGCCGGCTCCTCAAGGGATGGTGTGAGATAAATGGAAGGATTGTCTGCAACAAGAATGAGATAAAAAGCATGAGCTACAAATCTTTTCGCAAATAATCAAAACTCACAGTACGAGTCGGGGGGTGAGCGACGACCGAACAACCCAGGACTTTCCATCCCAAGAACATGCAAATTTGGCTCCCCAGACGGTGGGCTGTACGCTCCGACAGGCGTGACTGGAACAAGAAAGAGACGGAAATGATGAGGTACATACAAATACCAGCTTCGCAAATGATCAAAACTCACCTGCCTCCAAGGGAGAATCATCTGCAACAAGCATGAGATAGAAAGTATGAGTTACAAATCATTTGGTGAATAATCAAAATTCACAGTACGAGTCAGAGGGTGAGCGAGGCTCCTCAACAGGATCGTCTGCAACAAGAAAGAGACGGGAATGATCAGGTGCATACGAATACTAGCTTCGCAAATGATCTAAACTCACTGTCATAAGAAGAAGACGATTCAGGCGGATAACTCCTGGTGGATGGTGTCGGGATATCTATTTTTTGCGGAGGCTGTCGCCGACGATTAGTAGTAGGATGAGGCACCGGATTGCTAGGATGTTGAACAAGCTGGCCACATATTGTGCAAATCTCGCTTTGACTGGGGTATTGGTGAGCAACAACAACGCTTCTTGACACATCTGCTGTGAGGGTTATCTCCTCGCGAAGATACCCAGGACAACGATGGGAAACCCGTTTATGAGGAGACGCTGTAATGCGATGCAGGGGAGAGTCTGCTGATGATGCCGAAACACAGTCCAGGTAGTCCTCGAAATGGCGCACTATGGACTCGAGGCTTCTATTGTTTGCACTCTTGTCAAGTTGCCACCGCACCTCACGCCGAGGAGTGTTATGAGCTGTTCGCACTTCTGTCGGGCTCGAAACGTCCCCGGCGTCGTTTGGGTGGCCTTCCCGATTGCTTTGCACGACGCTTGAGTAATTTTCAACCAAGTCGTCGGCGTCGAGTTCCCGCTCTGGAGAATCATCTGTCATTGGATTTCAGTGGCTGTAAAAAAACATGGAAATAAATGTGATACCATAGAGGATGGTGTTGACCTCCGTAAACAGCTGGAGGGGGCGAAGACGCCTTGTCTCAGCAATGGATAGGTCTTTCTGTCTTAGAAGGAGCACGAACTTTCTGACAGAGCCCGCTCAACATTTCGGTCCCAGTTCGCTGGTGTGTTTGGTCGAACGGTATACGAGCCCCTTCTGGATGGTAAGCCGGTGGCGGTCCACGAGCAGTGGTATCCGACAAGTGAATCGAAAGAACTGGCTCATCACTGCCACCAGCAAAGATGTCGAAGTTCTGATCCTCGAAAGTAAGAATCTTCTCAGTGCGCAGGGCTAACCTTATAAACTCACCTCCAATTTAATTATGCCCTTCGGTAGAAGGTTCTGAGATTCCATGTAACTCAGCCCTGCCTAGTATACCAGAGAACGTATTTCAGACAAGCCATGGCTGGAATAGAGCCATCCATACCGCGAGCCCTTTAACCTGGTGTCATTTGCGTGGTTAAGCCGCATCACCACGGCCGACGATGTATGTAACTGACCGTTCTCATCGATAGCCGAACACTTTTATTCAGATCGGTGCGCAACGCATTGGCTAACAACGAACTCATTTTTCTGTCAGATACTGATATGCCCATGAGTGTAATGTGGCTAGGGGAGTGCTAGAAACCCACTCCCATGAAAAACGATGAATGGACTTTCTGTTCTGTTTTCGTCAGAAATCCCGACAATTTTTGGAACATTAGAATGACTGAGTTTTGAGCGAGTCATTGAAAGATACGAAAGGTCATAGATGATATTCACAGAAAGTTTTTAGCGAATGTAAGATTGAGATTCCAACTCTGCAAGAGTTACGATTAATAAATCTGCGAGTGGAATAAGAATTTTTTAACCTGCTTGGCGCGAGGACCCTCGAAAACCTTGACCGCCACAACGCGCCCTTCGTAGAATGCTGAGTGTGTGCGATAATTGGAGCCACTTGTTAGTTGTCTCTGCAAATCTATGTCCTTTGAATGCACAACCTATGAAACAGAAGATAAATTCATCAAGCAAGGGGTATATTCATGAGAATCGGAAGCGAACCATCAGGCCATCCGAAGTTTCATCGCGAACTTCTCTCAATCTCTTCCTGGGTCCATCGGCTTCCGCATCACCTTTGTCAAGATCACACTCTTTCCTTTTCCCCAGTAGTTGTGTTGCAATGCGCTCTAAATACTTCGTTCAATAAGATCGTCGAAAGATTGAAATTCGGAACCAGCCTGTAGATTCTGCAGGCATCGTGAAGTGGATGTTGAAATAGTCCCCACCAACTTCGGACATATGACTGTCTTTGATGGTAAAACCTGAGGCATGGGCGAAGAAGGGCATGCGGTTCATCGCCGTAGGTGCAAGACAAGCGCGACAGAATGCGAAGCGCCGTTACATCTTGGGGTAGAGCGGACGTGAGGCTGTGAACAGCCAAACTCCACCAACGGATGTATTTTCGCGATCACCCCTTGCCATACTTATGTGGGCCGATTTAACGGGATCTCCCGGATCCCCGCCGCTTTCGGAAGGTGCACGTGACCACGTGACCTGGCGCGTCGCGTCCTTCTCCCATTTCTCCTCCTCCCCCGCCGCTTCGACCCGCCGCTTTGTCCCCTCCCAAAATTTAGCTTGTAGTGCACCATTTTGTATTTATTATACATCGAAATGCTATTTTTTTCCCAGTTCCGGCTTTCCTTTGAGCAAATATGCAACCTTTGTCCAAAATGGACCTTGCGGCGCGTCCTTGATTGGGGCCTGGGTGCTGTTGAATTTTCGGGAAAAATACAAAAATTGCATAATGCCTCCAATGCATCTGCAGCTACATGTCTACCGCTTTTTTTGCTCTTTAGGGGGATGTTTGATAGATGGTTTGCTGCAAGGACCTGAAAATAAGTGGGATGAGTACACATAAGTCGGCATAAGTGCTTATGCACGATGGATTTAGCTTAAATCAAGTTCAATTTAGTGGATTTAAGGCCCTGTGATGCCAACCAGCTCAATTTAATGTGCATTTCCATGAGCTGGCCTATCCCTGCACCCGATTTAAGGGTTTTTCGGCTCAGGGACCTAACCCTCTGCTATATCACATCAGCTGAATGTTTGTGTTCCGTCATTAAGCCTTAAATTCATGTAATGCACATAATATTTGCAGGTAATAATATTTACATGAGATGTAGTATACTAGGGGGGCAAAAAAGAACTTTCAGAACTAAACCTGGCCTTCCATTTCCCCAGACTGACGAGATCTTCGAGAGCGCGCCTCAACATACGTGGGAGAGCGCAGGAGTCAGGTGGAAGGAGGGCCACATGGAGAGGTTTGAGCATGAGGCGGGGATGGTGCGTGGTGGTATGGTGAGGTAATTTCGGGTGCTGCTCGCTTTGGAGAAGGAGGGCAGGCAATGCGGGTGCCAGTCGTGATGATGGAAGGGGGACGGCTGGAGATGAGTGGGGCGAATGGGTTGCTTGTGAGACGGATGGACTGGGTAGGTTCGGATGGGCTCCAAATATTGCGTCGGGTGTGGGTTGAGGCATCAGACTCGGGACAATATGGGTGAGAGGCGATGTCGTGATGAATTTGCATGGTGACTGTTGATGGGAGAGACGCTAAAAAGCGCGGGAAACGATGGGTGTGGAGAGTGAGTGTGGGCTGTTGTGCGTGTGTGCAGTAAATCATGGAAAGTATATATTATCAGTCAA